TTTTGGCCTCTAGACAAGGATAAAACCCCTCGTGCGACCCTACAACACAGAGAGGCTGAGCACCTACTACCCCTGTTTCCCCTCATAGCCCGCAGTGATTTATGTGTCATTTCCCAGCCCAGTGGGTGACACTGCTCTCAGGACCTGGCCCTTCTCAATTTCTCCAACCTCATGTCTAACTGGTGCCCACCTGGGAATCCCAGCTCCAGCCCCAAGGTGCCAGGAGGAATCAAAGTCCCAGGAAGTTTTACAGAAATTTAAATGTTTCCAGCATATAAAGACTGGCCTCCAGGTTTTGGGCTCCTCTGGATAAACGTGGTAGCAGTGGCCAGATGCCTGCAGTGGTGTCCCCTGAAGAAATGACCCCCCCCCCCGTAATTTGTCAGACTCCCTACACAGCAGCAGTCTAGTCCCTCACAACTCTGCCTGCTTCTGGGGTTGTGGAATGAGTGACCCCTAGTTTCCCAGTTCCCCTTGCCCCTTAGGATGAAATCCAAACCTGAAAAAGACTAGAAAGTCCCTTCAGTCTTCATCACCTTTCTTCCCTTCATCCATGCTCACCTACCCAGCATAAAGGAAGTCACCTCAGCCATAGGGGCTTCTCTCCTATACAGAGCTAGGTTGTTCCACATACAGACTCTTGTTCAGACAAACCCTTCCGCTAGGATTGCTCCACCTTGTTTCATTTATGAGAAAAACCCCTATTCTTCAAAAATAACAGAGACTTAAAACACACATACACACGTTTAAAATAAAAGTCTAGTTCCAGGTAGATGGAACACTCCATTCTGTCTCTCTCACTGAATGCAGCTATAAAACGTAGGGAGAATATATAGAGTGACTATTTGAAGATTCTGAAAAGTACACAGTAGCAGGTAGATTTGGGTAAAAGGCCAGAATTTAAGTACCACTGAACCATCAGTGAATTTGTCATTTTTTCCCCTTTAGTATCCCCTAAGCTGAACAGCACCTCAGGGATCAGTGGAACAAAAATAAAAGGTTTAACATTCGTGTCATTGGAATTCCAGAAAGAGAGAAGTCAGAGTGTGATGTAAAAAATATATACATGTTTTCAGGGAAAGATTAGTCCAAAGGACTGATGGACCACAACTACCACAGCCTCCACCAGACTGAGTCCAGCCCAACTACGCGGTGCCTGGCTACCACCACAGACAACTTTGACAGGGATCACAATAGAAAGTCCCAGACAGAGCTGGAGAAAAATGTAGAACAAAAATCTGACTCACAAAAAAAGAGCAGACTTGCCGCTCTGACAGAGACTGGAGAAACCCCGAAAGTATGGCTCCCACACAGGCTTTTAACTCAGTACTGAAGTCACTCCTGAGATTCACCCTTCAGCCAAAGATTACCTATAAAACCCATTGCCGTCGAGTCGATTCCAACTCATAGATACCCTGTAGGATAAAGTAGAACTGCCCCATAGGGTTTCCAAGGAGCGGCTGATGGATTTGAACTGCCGACATTTTGGTTAGCAGCCAGAGCTCTCAACCTCTGTGCCACCAGGGCTACATAGTGCAGATGTGATCAATTAAATCAATATGCGTGACTGCATTAGGCCACCCTCCCCTTCTGAAGTTAGTTTTCCAGGGGCCTTTTGGGTAGCAGTTATACCTTTTCCCATAAAACAAAACGAGACTCAACGGGCATATCAGCCAAGGGGAAGGAACAAGAAGGCAGGAGGTGATAAGAAAGCTAGTAATGGAGAACCCAGGGCGGAGAAGGGGAGAGCGTTGACACGTTGTGGCGTTGGCGACCAATGTCAGCTTGTCACTAAGCTATGTGTATTAATTGTATTAATTTTATATGTAATTAATGTGTATTAATTTGCTCTGTACACGTTAATCTAAAGTACAATAAAGAAATTTACACTGGAAAAAAATTAACCATTAAAACTATATAAAAAGAAACAAAGAAAGAAACAAAAGTGTATTTATATACGTGTTTTCAGCCATGGAAGTGGGAGTGCGGCCTTGGGACTCCATTTCCCAGCGCCCTGAGCGGTGACGCTTTTTCGTTGCCATGGAGATAGGGCTGGGCGCCGGAAACTGGGAAGGGAACTACACTACCCAAAAGGCTCTGCGCGCGTGTTCAGGACACGCATTGGACCAATAAAGCCCTGAAGGCGGCTGGACTTCCGGCGCGCAGGTCTGTCACTTTGCTACCCGGCGTCAGGGCACACCGGCGGTTGGTGCCGGAGCGCGCGGGGTAGGGTACGGTGTTCCATGAGGCTCTGAGGACCAAAGGCGAGGGCAACGAAGAAGGCAAGAGCGGAGACTCCCCTCCCCCCGCCGCACCTGTACACGCAAATTTACCACGGGCGAGTGGCTCAGCTCCCGCAGCCTCGATTTCCCCGAGTGTACAGTGGGCGACTGGCTCCACCTACTCTCCGGGGACCCAGCGGCCACCGGGAAGCAACGCCGTAGACATTCTGCACCCTTGACAGACGGGTAGACAGGCCCAGAGCTGCCCGTGAGTAGCTGCCCGTGAGTAGGCCAGGTCGGCGGAGCCCGCGTCTCAGGCCAGGTTGCCTGCTCTTCTCGTCCCGCCTACGGTATCCGATGGCAACCGTGACGGCGCTGACGGACCAGGCTCAGGTGAGTGGAGGGAGCTTCAGACACCCACCCGCCCGGACCCCCACCTCCCATGGACTCGAGTCCCAATTGAGGGAGGGAGTTTTTCTGGGCGTCTTATCTTCCTCACTTGCTGCCCGGGAGAGACTTTCGTCCCAGCCATTGGTGTTCAGGTCAGTGGGCCGTGCACAAATAGGATCCCCACTTTGGCAGCCAAGGGTGTGAGGTCTGGCAGGAAGTTCCAAGGAGAGAGTCCCACACGTGCAAAGACTGGGAGGTGACACTGAGTCGAGGTGCTTCCAGAGCTGAGTGTTCTCAACGTGTCTAGTGAGAACAGAGCTGGAGAGAAGATACGTTTGGCTGGAATGATAGGCCGAGGAGCTGGAACTTTATCCTGAGGGTGCCAAAAGCCATGGAGGGACATGCTCTGATATCCCAGTTGTTGCTGAGTGGAGAACAAATGGGGGAGGGAGGGAACAGGGAGGATGCTAGTGAAATAGTGCTAGTGTGGGAGAAAGAACTTGGTTTGACTCTTGTGTCTGAAAATAACCCGAGCAATCAAGATGTCTTTGTTTTCCTAAATAGCTGGGCAAGTAGGCCCCTGGAAAACTGACTTCAGGAAGGGGAGGGGGGAGCAGTGGCTAATGCAGTCATGCATAGTGATTTAATTGATCATATCTGCATTATGGAGCCCTGGTGGCACAGTGGTTGAGAGCTATGGCTACTAACTAAAAGGTCGGCAGTTCAAATCCATCAGCCACTCCTTGGAAACCCAATGGGTCAGTTCTACTCTGTCTTATAGGGTCACTATGGTCTGAATCGACTCGTCAGCAATGGGTTTGGTTTTTTTTGGTTTGCATTAAGGCTCAAGTCATGCATTTTCAATAAGGTCCCAATGACTAGGGGACCCTGGACCTTGGAACGCTGTCTTTGGGGCCTCCAGATCGGTGAGAACATTCTTGCACAGGAGACTGAGTGGCATGTCCCTGGGAGCGTTTTGCTGGGAACTCTCCCAGACATTGTCTGATGCATCTCTTTGCTTTTATCCTTTCTGATTATAATAAATGGGTAACTGTAAGTATAGATGATAGTCTCTGGATTTTGTGAGCTGTTATACAGAATCAGTGAACCAACAAGGGCAATGAGGCAGCAGTGCATGGCAGAACAGAGTTGATTTGTGTAGACCCAGATCTGGGTGGCTAGGTGGTAGAGAAAGGCTGCACAGGCAGTCAGTGAAGAAGAATAGAGTCCTTCTACCTGTAACCTAGTTCCAGGGAACTGGAGAGAAAGGGAGAGAGAGAGAGAGAGGGAGGCCAGCTGGTCTGAAGTACAGGGAATTATGCAGGCTCCTGAGCCTATAGTTGCTCCACATGACCTGGCCTCAGGTGGCCAGGGATGTTTTGACCCTGCTCAGGATAGCTGATCTAACTCTGAGTGGTTAGGGTCAGAGTTTTTGCCATGGAAGTGCCTGGCAACAGATGGATATGCGGGAAGGTGAAGCCTGGATCCTTTTCCAGGTGGGAATTGGATTCATGCAGATCCTTGCCATGCAATTAGTGATAAAAGTGGGGTTTGCCCACCTTGCCCCTTTTATAGTGCACTGTGTAGTACAGTTTTGCACCTGGTAAGCCATGATGGCAGGTGGACCAGAGTGGGGCAGTGGTGGTGGGAGAAGTGATTAGATTCTGGATAGATCTGCTGATGCATCACGTTCACACCACAAGTGTAGTGAGTGAAGGACCATCCCAAGTTTTTTAGCCTGACCACCTGGAAGAACGAAGCTGCTCTAGACAGAAATGGGAATTTAGAGGAAAAGCAGGTTTCAGAGGAAAGATTTGGAGTTGGATTTGGGACCTACTGTTGAGTCTGATGGTCCAGAATGGAGGCATCACATGGGCTTATAGTTGTACAAGACAAGGTCCTGGTGTCTTGGGCTGAGGCAGGGCCTGGGAATTGGACATAAGAGGAAGGATCTTAGGAACTTGGTAGGGATGGTGTGTTAGGGCCTGAGGGCTGGGAATAGTGGCTGGGCTGGGGGTTCCCTGAGGCTCAAACGCCAATTTTCTGGAAGGTAGCCCAGGGAAGGGAGGGCAGAGGCTGACCAAGGAGATAGAGGGGTGGAGCTGTGGAGAAAAGGATTAACTTCTTGTGTGCCCACCACGTCCTTGAGGCCACCCCCGTAAAGACTGGAGATGGGGTGTCTCTCAGGCCCGAGGAGCAGCACTGGTGTCCAGCAAGCTTTAGCGAGGGATAGCCCCAGGGCTGGGCTTGGACAATTGCTTGTAGCAAGAGCATGAAGAGTGAGTCTGACTAGGAAACAGCCTGTGCAAAGGCTGAGGCATGATTGGACACCTGAGGAGGGGATTCTGGCTACCTTTCCAGGGACTTGCTGTGGCCACCTTGTGCAGAATGGCCAGCGGAGAGGCTGAGGTAATGACTGTGGCCTGGACAGGGAGGTTGGAGGGGTGGCGGCCTGGACAGGTGAGAGAAATGCCATCTATAGAGAGAGTGGCCTGGGGCAAGGCCTGGAAGAGAGTAAGTGACTGAGGGACATCAGAAGAAGTGGCCACTCTCCTCTTCCGCCTCCCCACCTGGCTTCCTCCTCCTTTCCCTCCACTATCAGCCTTTCTTGGGGAGCTGGGTCCTCGGTCACAGAGCTCAGACTGTTCATCTCCTCCTGCCTGCCATTGCAGGGCCTGGTGGCCTTTGAGGATGTGGCTGTGTACTTCTCCCAAGAGGAGTGGAGGCTCCTTAACATGGCCCAAAGAGCCCTGTACCGCCATGTGATGCTTGAGAACTTCGCACTTGTGGCCTCTCTGGGTAAGGCCGTGAGTCCTCTGTGGGAGGTATGGTTGGTGCCAGGCTGGGCCACCAGCATGGCTGCCTCACCTTCCTGGTGGCCCTTGAGCAGCCCCCACCCCCACTGCCCAGGGGCCATGTGAGGCAGAGTTTGGGACCAAGGAGACTCACAGTCTGGCCAGCTCAGCTGCTCCCTAGCTGAGTGTCCCTGTTTGGGCTCCGTGCACTTCCTTTGGCATTACCAACACAGTGGTTGCTTGAGGAGACCACTAGGCTGTTCTGTGAATCCCTCCCTGTGGTGCATGGCATGACGTGGCATGACCCTTGGGTTTTCCTGGTTGCACAGATGACATGAGTTTCCTGCTATCTGTTGGGAGGTGAATTGCCCTGAGCAAGGGCCAGCCCCTCTCCCGCCCTGTCCTCCCCCACAGGACTCGCAGCCTCCCGACCCCGAGTGGTTATCCAGCTTGATGGTGACGAGGAGCCCTGGGTTCCCAACGGGACAGACGTGGCCCCAGTCACAGCAAGAAAAGTCCAGAGGAGGCCCAGCCCTGGTGAGTGGGAGCTCAGCGTGAGGGTGAGCTTGGCACTTGAACTTGGCTGATTCTCCATCCCCCTTTTCAGACCCTTCCTGACACACCCTCCTCTTACGCCTCCCCACCCTGCTTCCTCCTCCTCTCCCTCCACTATCAGCCTTTCTTGGGACCTGTAGCACTGGCGCCGTTGAAGGGTGAGCTGAGGATACTGGAGCTGGGTTCAGACACAGGTCACCCCCAGGCTATGGTGAGGCCTGTTCAGAGCCCAGGAGGGCTATGGGGCCTCAAACCCTCCAAGTCTTGTTGCTGTTATCTGTGGGTCATTCCTTCATTCCCTCATGTGTTTGTTTGTTTTTTTTTTAATTGTACTTCAGGTGAAGGCTTACAGAACAAATGGTTTCTCATGAAACAGTAGTATACATATTGTTTTATGCATTGGTTAACAGCCCCACGACATGTCAACCCTCTCCCTTCTAGACCTTTTTTTTTTGTTGTTGAAAATATACATAGCCAAAGATACACCATTTCAAAAATTTCTACATGCACAGTTCAGTGACATCGACTACGCTCTTCCAATTGTGCTGCTATTCTCAC